GTAATTTAGTGCAGTCTGTTTTCTTCTTTGCTGTCAGCATGCTGCCAGCATGGAGGAAGAGGTTAAATGCGCAGAATGGAAAGGAGTGGTTGGAGGAAACAGGCAGCAGGTGCAGATAAGTGTGAGAGAAGAGATTAAGCCTGAGGCAACTAGAAGTGGAGGTCATTGAGGAGATTTAGAACAGAGAAAACAAAGGTGAAATGAGTATAATCTAGCAGGGGCTCCTAACTTATGAGGATCTGTAGCCACATGATGAAAAACCTGGAGGCAAACCTAGGAGATTTATGTCAGCTTTGCTTCCCTAATGATCAGATATGACGTATTGGCAACACACCTCACTGTTTTTCTCTGTGGTGTTCACAGAGGATAACAATCTACTAGAAACCAGGAAAAAATATAAAGGTACATAGGATCTTCATTGATATAGAACAGGCAAATAAAGAACAGCTGCGTGCTATTCCTGTGTTGCAAAGAGAAGGAAGCATACGGTGAAATTACAAGAGATAATGAGAAATGCTTTTCTTACTAGTCAAATTGTAGAAATGCAATGATAGAGTCTTTTGGGTTCCAAGAAAATTAGACAAGTTCATGGTCCATCAGAAGCTATGAAGCAAGGTGGTCTATGTCCAGCCTCTGACTGAGGATGTCCTTAAACTGCACATTGCTAGAAGCTCGGAGAATATAACCAGAAGTACCACACTGTCTTTTATGCTCCTGTTCTTTGCCAAGAAGAAGGGTTACTGGACTAAACGGACCTTCAATGTGACCCAGATCAGTCTCATTAGGCTAAAGGTTCTCTAATAAATCTGAACTTTACAGATTTTTACTGTTTCCCTGCCCCTCGCTATGCTTACAAAGATATCTATTCCAAGTCTGATGTGAGCATAACGTGGTGATTATTGACCAAAATGTGCGCTTATCAGACTACTTGGTAGTTGTTTGCCTTTTAAAGCTGTTGTAAAGTCTCTTCTTCAGGTTGACTATTGACTGACTGTCGTTTCATTACCATAGGAGTTTGGCAGGAGTAGAAATTTCATGGTCTGGATAATGGATAATAATTTAATAAAGCCAGTGTAAAAATAAGCTACTTAAAAATGCATAGGTTTTTTTAAGCTCTCTCCCCTCCCAGTCTCTTTCTCTCTCTCACCCACCCACACACGCATGTTTTTGATTTTTTTTCCCATAATAAGAAATTATATTGTCATTTCTGGTTATAGCTTAGTTTTATGAAAACTGAGATTTAAAACTAAAACGGCTGAAAACATTTCATGTATCATAAAGGACCTAATCAGGATGCAGAAATAGGTTAAAAGGTACATACTCAAAGGAAAGGCCTTTTTATTTTCAAGTGTTTTGGCATGAATAGTTGTGTCATTGTAATTTCCCTGCCAATTTTTGGTCAAGAACTGGAGTTCTTTATCTTTCTTACTTGAAGCCCGTAACCTTCGAGGTTCCCTTTCTCCCTCTGGAAGCCTTCAGAAATTCTGAGATAGAACTGTAGAAGAGTAGCTGAATTTCCATAAGCAAAAATAAATCAAGCTATTTTAAAAAGGGAAAAGTAGATGTAAATTACAGAAGGAAGTGATATTGTGAAACAAATGACCATTGATTCTATGAGTGCTGATACCAAAAGGAATGGCAGAAGGCTCTTGTGAATCATAGCAGAGAACAGCTTTTATGTTCTGGGTGTACTTGCAGATAAACCAGTATTCAGAAATGATTGAATTTATTCATTCTGCTCCCATTGTCAGCAATCAGATGAGATTTGCAAGAACATTTATACCCAGGAAGAAAACCAACACTGTGAAACTCTTGTAACAATGAAAGGATTGTTGAATCATGTATCAGAGCCTCCCCAGAAGAGGGAACTCAGTCCATATGGTCTCTTGAAGTTACTCTTTAGCTTTACCTGAGTAGCAAAGACGTAAACATTTTCTGTCTTCTAGCACATTGGTGATGTTAAGATTTAAAATCAACACATGTGATCAAGCAGTCTAAATGGTACCAGAGTATTTTGATTTGCTAATTAAAAAAAGTGCAGGAGGTGGTCTGACCTGATTAGTTCCGGTTGCCAGACTTTGTGTCTCTTGCGTGAGATGCCATATAATGATTTTTGATGTTTACAGGGATTCTTCTGTACATGACAAAATAAAGCCTGAGGCAAGGTAAGTAGAGAGAAGAAAGAATAGAAGGATAGATTAGGTGGAGAGCAGAACAGGAAGAAAACTCACACACACTCTTAATTATTAATATGAATGCTCTCCTGCATGTCTCATTGAGGCTTAGGCTATGGATGTGTTACAGGAAAGACTCATAAAGGACTATGAAACTTGAAAGGGAAGTGAATATGCCCAGCTATGGAACTATTTATTTTTGCATTATCATTCTTATCTAGAAAGATGCTTGGGTTATGTCTTGCAGTGGTCACAGAAAGTTTAAGTTGCCGATTCCCATAGCCATCAGATTTCCTGGTTTCACTTTTGTTGGCACAGCTTCATCTGTGGTAGCAGTGCTGGCAGTACTGATGGAGGCTGCTGGCAGCCTGTCTACAGTGTCTCAGCTGGAGTATCATCTAGTTCCCGGTGAGCAGAGTTGGGAGGGAGAGGTGGAGCAACCAGATGACATTTGTACTTCCCCTGTGCAAATTCTTTCTTTTTCATATAAACATGATGATTAATTTCACTTGCAGAACTGGATGATATGTATTCTTGCAGACATTACATGCAAATTTTTAATCCCTTTTCAAAATTCCATTTTATTGCTATATGGACATTTTAACATACTTAATTTTAATTACATATGATGCTTATTTCACATAATGGTAGAACATGGAAATTGCAAAACACCAGTAAGAATAGTGGGGGGCTGCCTGTGAACACAAAGGTTTTCTAGTCTGCAGGGATCCTTAGGCTCATCTGAAATCCGTAGGACAAAATACAGTTTGTCTGTGTTATGTTCATTTAGGATAATATATGGAAATAATAAATAATTATGTTGATGGTTCATGTGAGGAAAAGCTATCATGCTGACTGCTGTTTCCAAAGAGACAAAATACTAACCAATAAAGGGAATGGGGTGACTAATAACAAAATCCAACAATTTATTGTTGGATAAATTATTTATTTTCTGTATTCTATGGGGAGAGAGATACAGTGTGTCAAGTTTTCTGACAGCATAATTCTGTTGAAGTTGGTTGAATTGTGTCAGCAAAGATTTTGGTTTTATAATCTCAGCTACTGCAGCAAATAAATGTAGTTCTTTTATGAAAAAGTTCAGATCAGTAGCAATTAGTATTCCCCAGGCCTAATTTTCCACCTGATAAGTGAAGACAAATTTAGTGAGAAAAGGTGAATTTGGGAATTCTGCTGGTAGCAGGTCATCTGGTTGCGTATGGCTTCACTGAAAAGTCTTGTCTCCTGCTTCTCCTCCCTTTTGGGCATGTTCTGATAGTAGTCACTGCACCGAGAGTGCAGTATGCTTCAGCTATGTGCTTCAGCATTTTTTCATTTTACTCTGTGTTTGACTTGGTCTCCACATTAATTTTAAAGTTCATGTATAAAATAATAAACTCCAAGTGAGATAGGGCATGGATGCGATTGTACCTTTTTTTTGTGAATACAGTAGTCTGAATTTTTAAAATGTTGATTTGATTGTCTCTCCTTATCTTGTGGATAAGGACTTTCTGGGTGTGTGATTCTGCTTTCCATGAACACTGAGGTTGGTGTCGCTGTGGCTGTTATTGCCTCTTTCTTACCACCTTTGCCTTACAGATTTCATAGCTTGTCTCTTCCTGTCTGTTTACCCCAGGACTTTTTTTAGGGATCATCTGAAACTGTTCCTGTGGTCTTTAGTTTATTAATTTTTCCTCTCCCTCTGCTGCTTTTAGGGTGGATTTGTTTGTTTGTTTATTGTCACACTGCAAGGCACAGTAGGAAGGTAATTGCCTATCAGATGTACTATAGATTTTGTTATTGATCACATTGTGCAGTAACAGTAGAATGTCAAATTGAATTTTAAGCTCTTTAATGTTGCTTCACTGGTGATGGCTGCTAAGTGATGTACCCCTACTGATATGTCATACCCTGGGTCTTGTTTTGGGGTTCTTAGACTTTGGACATTCCTGAAAGTTTAACTAGTTCCTGGTGATAAAGAGGTTTGGAAACTTAATTTCTTTTTGAGTAGATTGTTTGAGATGTTATCTTTGACCTGTTGCTTTAACATTATACATTTTCTCTGTGGTTGGTTGCAGGTACAGCCCTAAAAGTAGTGTCTGTTCTGTGGCAGTGAGATGTGCTCTCTGCACCTGAGACTTGTCAGGGAAAGCACCAGACATGGTTCAGGGTCTGTGCTGCAGGCATCTGGCCATAGCAGGGTCTCCAGCTAGACCACCTTGAACTCAGGCTTAAAAGGAAGGAAAACCCTGTTGTCTGTGGTGCTCCAAATAGGTGACATTTCAACTGTACTATGTGTGCGGATCAGTGCTATTTTGTGCTGAATCTGTTTCACCAACTGTAGAGACTTTAGATCTTCACATCTTTCTTGCAATCAATTATTACAGTTCAAATGTTTTCAATTTTATTTTTGAGTACACTCTGGAGAAACTTCAAGCCAGCTTCTGTGTTTGTATCCTTAAAATTCATACTTCTGCTTTGTACTCTGACATTTTGTTACCAGCATATTGTCTCCTTCTGTTTGGATGGAAATTATTTGTAGGTACAAACATCTCTGATGTAACTGTACATGGTATATTTCTTCAAGGTGGTCATACAAATTGGGCTGTTAAAACATAAACTACTTTCAATTTGTATGTAGAAATATCCTTTGAAAGAAGGATAAGCATCTAAAATAGCCTATTTTAAAAAGTATATCTATTTTGTCCCATTCCTTAGTTTTCTTGATTTGATCCACTGTATATTTAATATTTGAAACTTCATTGCTAATAAAATCTCACCTTGATTACTTTTTTCTGAATATTTTCACTCTCCCTTTTCTCTCTGTAGGTGGAAGAAATTGTTGATATAGGAGCATTTGCCCCAGAAGACATTCATGTTCCCAAAATCTATGTTGATCGTTTGATACAGGGAGAGAAGTTTGAGAAGAGAATTGAAGTAAGTACCTGAGCTTCTTCGTCACAACATATTTCAGCCTGGGGCGTATTTTAGAATTTACAGGGTTTTTACTCTAGCCACCAAGTCTTAGCACTGAGAAAATAGTGGGAGAAAGAATTGTCAAGTTTTGCTAACTGGACAGGTTAGGTACTTAGGTAGTTAGTAGTTAGGTGGGGCCTTGAAAATTGAGCCTTGTTTCTTATACGTCAGCCTCTCTGGTTCAGTCCTTGAATAAGAGCAACTGCCTGTAGTCCTGGGTGGCTTTAACACAGTTGAAAATTTGATGGAAAATGCTACTTCATTCTCCTTTCTCGTCTCAGTTCACCTTCTGTAGACACAACAAGGGGAACACCTAGACTAAGAGCTGACTTTGACAATTAGATACTTTCTTTTCTACTGGAGAGCTTTTGACATGGGCACATAGGGCCAGTCTCAGCACCTTTTGTGCCATGTATTGAATTACATTACATTGCAAAGGTTCTGGAACCTTTCTTTCCTTTTCTTTAATCAGGAACATTTTTAGCCAGTGGTATTTCTGGTCTGTATAAAAGATGTCAATAGCTATTAAAAATTGCAGCAATAACATTCTGTCACTGAAAACATCCAAGAAAATGATGATTATGTAATTGTTCTTCTGTGTTTCTGTGGCTTTGCCTCACTCAAGCTATGTCCCTATATTCATTTTGGTGATGTGACAATGCTCTTAAAGTGCAATTGAAAATTCTGTATTTCTTCTGTGTCTCCATACTCTGGAGGTGGGAATTATTCAAAATGTCATCAGAAGAGCTGGTGGAGGGGGAGATATTTGACACAAGGAAAAAAACATCTTGGAAAAAAAAAAGTGCAGAAAGAAATTGTAATAATTAAACTTTTATTACTAAAATCACAAAGTCACAAAGTCCTAGAAAGTCATACAAGGCCTTTTCTCTGAGTAAACACTTTCATGAATGTTAAGGTTAAAAAGGTATTTTTCTCCCTTCCATCTGTTCATTCTGCAAAAGCATATTGCATGTTTTTGAGTATTTGACTGGAAACAGATGTGTCAAACCTCTTTTTTTTTTTTTTCCCCCCTTTCTCTGGGCATATGTTAGACTGCAATTAATGGCCTGTTTCCTTCTTCTGAATGGATGCAATATCTCACAGAAAAGCTTTTACCTTTCATGAGAGAAATCCATTTTGCATTTATTAAACTGCTGTTCTTATTGCAGTTTGGCAATGGATGAAGAGGTGATTCTCTGTCAGGGAAGACCTTTATACAAACACCTGATTTTCTTTGGCTTGGCTGCATAAGTGAATACACCTACCTAGTCAACTGCCCCCTTCACTAAATGCTTAAAAAAAAAAGGAAGGAGGGGAGGGAAGCTACTATAAACTTCACAGCAAAGTTGTAACAGAGATTAATTTTGTTTGAGTAATTTTGTAATTCTGGCAGTGGCACCTCTCATTAGTAGAAGTATACGAACGAAATGGCAGATTTATTTACTCTTCCATAAAAGATTATATATGAAGGAAGTGGCTGTACATATGAAAGCATTGAGTATGATAAATGGTAAGGGGAGAGATGAGGAATAAAGAGAAGCTAGCCTGTCATAATTCTTACTGGCTTTAAATAGCAGTTCCTGCCTAATTTGGCTCAGACGTGGTCCCTCTAGTAGAAGTCATACTTTCTATCCAATCTTCCCTTTGCTGCAGAGAAACCCTCTGTAATTGTTCTTACTTTTTCCGTATCTTGCAAGTGAAGTAATTCTAGGGAAAATACCCAAGGCATAAAAAGAAAGTTGCTGGGAAATTTAAGAGGATTGATACTGACTGTTTCTGACTGCCTAAGAGGAAAGTGACTCCCAACATGGGGAAAAAAGACACTGCAAAAATTATTTGATGAAAAGGAGCAGAGGATGATTTTGCCTGATGTGTTCATTATGGCCTCAAGTACAGGAGGATGTGAGGACATATGGGGGTGCAGGACATGATGTTGCCCAGAGCAGTTTTATATGCATGGGAGAGATGCGCAAAGAACATAGTCTATGTAAACAATAATTTACAAAGAAGGCCTTACAAACTTCTTGAATGTCATGGCATTTTCACCTACGTGTAATTTAGAAAGCATCAACTTCAGGTCAGGAAATCTCAGGAAACAACTTCAGCCAGATTTATGCAAGATTATACAGATTCATGTTTGAAAACTTAGTTGCTTAGCTCCCAGTATCTTTAGATGACTGGCATTTGTCTGTCTCATGCATATAAATCTAGAATAGCACCACTGAATTGAATGAGGGCAGAAAGAGAGCAGTATTTGTATTTTAGGCTGACATTTTACAAATCTATTTAGATATCTCTGGGGTAATGAATTTCAGACTTGCTAGTATTTGCACTAATGCTTGGTGCCTTCTTAACCAGTTGTCTATGTATCACGTACTCTCTCAGCCTTGGCAATACAGAAATAACATTTACTCTAAGGCCATCATTGGGGATATTTGATGACTCCATTGGCTTAGATAAGCTTGAACTGATAGAATAAAAGGTCGATTTTTGTAGATGATGTATAAATAACATTCTTAGACCAAGTATCTCAGTGCAATCACAAATCAGGCTTTTGTGTCTTGAGAAGCAAGAGTCTGGCTTCTAATCTTTACTTATGATTACTTCTTCTTTTGCAGCGCTTGTCAATCCGAAAGCCTGAAGACTCAAAAGCAAAACAAAAACAAGGAGACAATGTGAGGGAAAGGATCATCAGACGGGCTGCTTTAGAGTTTGAGGATGGCATGTATGGTATCCTTCAGCTGTGCTATAGGTTAAAGTGATGACTCACTAGAATAACAACCACACCTGTTTTGTTTAAAACAGGTTAATTACCATGCTCATTGTCTTTCCCAGAGCCTGGGATTCTTTCATTTTATTAACACCCTATTGAAATAGATGGGATGTTAAGATATAGGGTACCTGGAGTTTTTATCCAGGCATATCTGGAGAATTTGTTAGCAGTTGAATGTTTTGCAAGAATTTCTTGAAAAAGTTACATACGTTGGAAATGAAGCTTACTTGTGCTGTGGGCTTTTTATCATGTAAAGCATTTGACAGAATGCAATTAGACAGTCCAAATGGCAAAATAATTCATCACAAATATGAGGCATCTAACTAAAAATGAAAGTGTTTGTGAAGAGAACAGTTCTAATCTAATCATAGTACAATGATAACTTCTTTTAATTTACTCGATGACTTCTTTTAATTTACTCATTTGCAGTAAGTGTGTTCCTGTTTGTGCCTTAACCAATTCTTGTCAGCTAATCTGGGTATTGGAATCCCACTGCTGGCCAGTAACTTCATCAGTCCAGACATAACTGTTCACTTACAGAGTGAAAATGGAGTCCTGGGTTTGGTAAGAATATATCTTGGTCACTTATTGCAGTGTACTTACCTTGCAGGGGCTTGGTTTTACTCCCTGCCCATCCCCAACTTGATTAGAATTTTACTAAAAATCATATTCAAATATATAACATATTGCATGATCATAAAATTCTTATCACAGTGCAGGGAAGTTTTTAAGAAAATGCTCATTTCAGGGTTACAGTGCTACTTTGCTAGGTATGGTCTTAAGCACATGTTCTGCTGGAAGGAGTCAGAACCTTCAGTAGTTTGCAAGACCAAGCCTTGTAAGCCTTATCAAACATAATTTTAAATAAAACTTAAAGTGAATATTATTTTCACTGTCATATGGCTTTATGAAGTTCCACCTGCATACCCTTTTCTGAAAAATGTCTGTCACTTTGGTTAAAAACAAAAAAAAACAAAACCAAACAAAACCCCCACTTTGTGGTTATTTAGTAATTCTAACAGCCTCTAGCAATATGTCCATCAGTCCTGATATGTTAGTTGATGTAAATTGTGGCTTGTATCATAAGGGATGTTGTTCTACTAAAGATAAAAAAAATGCCTGTCTGTGATGATATGTTTTCAGTAATAAGCATTAGAAATAATAAAGCCATTAGGAATTGTATCTCAAAGGTATTTTAATATAAAGTTGACATATGTCTATGTTGTTGTCAGGGTCCTTATCCACTCGAAAATGAAGTAGATCCAGACCTGATTAATGCAGGTAAAATCTTTTAAATAAATTTAATTTATGGAAAATTATTATTCATTGTTAATCTACAAATTTTCTTTTGATTCAGTATTTGAACCCAGACTTCTCTTTTATTTACTGATAAATATTAATGTATTTGTCTTCTTTTAAGTGAAGGTTGGTTTTGATCAATGGAGATGTTTAATATTCTGGTTAGAGAGCTGATGCTTTGATGCATTTTAGTAGCTACTGAAGGAAACTCTCTTCCAGGCCAGGTAGTAAAGGGTCAAGTCTTCCTTTTCAGAAGTGAGATTGTTTTGCGAAGCCTATATGCGAATATGGATTTGTTTTCCTGCTACTTTTCACCTTGTGTCTTCTAGAAAATGGTTCTCAATGGTTTATGTTTGGGACATGTTTTAAAATGTCCTCTATCTAATGGCCTCGTTTATTCCTGGCTAGTGAGTTGCCAGGAATGCAACTCATTTGCATTTGGAGAGGGAGCGGTAGCCAGGGCAGGGGGAAGGAGCTCCCCAAATGGGACCTGGCACACTGGAGGGCTCTGCTGCTGGTGGCTGCTTTTGCCACTTTAGGGGGGGGCATGCAGTCCTCACATACGGTTTTTCCCCAGCTGTTTTTGGGCATTTCACCTCAGAAGTAGCCATGCAATGTATTAAGCTTTTTATGGTTTAGTGTGTCTGTCTGATTTCTGTTTTCTTCATGGAAAGTTGTGCCTGTGTCCGTTCTCTGTTTCCATGTAAAATTACACCTATAAATTGCATTGTGACAAACAGATGTAGGCCTTGGCACCTTATAAATTCTCATTGATGGTAATGATATAGGTTACAGACCCATAGCTGACATCTTAGAGTTGTTTTTTCATATGGAAACCTATGGATTTTATTTTTTTTATTTATGTATACATTTACATACATACACATATATGCATGGGTGTGTATGTATGTATCTATCCAGACAGTACCTTTCTCAGCGGCTGTTAGCAAGTGCAATTAAACTTTGAAAGGAGATAAAGCACTGACATCAAACAAGCTTTTAACTTAATATCAGGGTGCAGTCCAGCAATTGTTCACTGACTTGAAACATTTGCTACCTGGCTTAACTAATGGATACCATTACCATACTGCTATGTTATTGCCCCTGTTTCAGTATTATGTTTTAAATAAGGAGTGATTTAAGGCCGTCTTGTGATTTGAAATAAGAAATTATTACAGAATTGAGTCCAGCATTTCACCAGTAGCTAGGTAACTGTTGTGATACACTGTATGAAGGAAAATGTCAGAGGCACATGAGAGCTGTGTTAATGCTTGAATTGAGGTGTTTTTAAAAAAAATAAAAATTGAAGGTGTCACTGGAAGGAAAAAATATTTAGAATAAAAACCATTTAGGTTTTTATTCTAAATATTTATTCTAAATATTCTAAATATTATTTAGAATGTAAAATAATATTCTAAATATTTATTCTAAATATTAATAAATATTTATTTAAATATTTATTCTAATATTTATTCAAAGGTGAAATTATATGCACACACATTAGAACTTAAGTTCTAATACGGGTGCATTAGAAATGAACACGTTAACAGAGTGACGATGGGAAAAAATATCCAAGACTTGATGAATACTCTGAAAAATCATTGTGCTTTTATATGGATGTCAATATGATCTTGAATTGTTGTTTATGGTTTATAAATATTTTTGAAGAGATAACCTTGCAGGGATGAAGCTAACATAAGAGTTCCGAATACAACATGGAAATCAGATTATTCTAGTGTTGGTAATTCAGTGTTAAGCACCTTCACATCTTCCTCTGAAGCTGGAGTAGACAGGACACAGGGTAGGTGAACCTCAGCTCTACCACCAAAATTATTATTATCACTGCTTAAACATTCAGAAGCTGCTAGATCCCACTGACACTTAGTTGGATTAAGACCATTCTAGGTGCTTTCCAGCCAAATTTATAAAACCATGTGAAGAAAGCAGAAGCTAAATGGCAAAGGAACAGGATTTGATTCTGTTTGCATTCATCGACTGGAATGGTCCAGTATCAGCCCCCAAAGCCTACATTTTCAAAATATACTCCCGGTTTGGGCTTTTGCCAAATTTTTACCTGGAGATGTAATTGTATTTCTCTGAAAGTTGTATGGGTTCCATTTTCTGAATGTGTCACATGAAGTTTATCTTCACTGTAATTGAAAGGTAGACTTCTGTCTTACAGCAGAAATATTTACAAGTACTGACTCCTGAGAGCATTTTCAAGAAGTGGATAATATGGTGCTTTTGTTACATTATCCTGTGGTCTTCAGCCTGTGCCTCTTTCTTCTCAGCATTGCCTTCGCTTGTCAGTTTATCCCAGGGTTATCACTCCATGTTGCTGCTTGTGTATTGTGTTGTCTCTCCCACTGCCTTGGGTGGGTGCCTGGTAG